TGGAGGCAGAGATGGGGTGGGAGGGAAATGGGGATGGGGATGATGGATATGGAGATGATAGAGATAGGATAGGGATGGGATAGAGATGGGAATGGGGATGGGATGGAGATGGGGATGGAGATGGAATTGAGAGTAGGGATGATGGAGGTGGAGGTGGGGATGGAAATGAGAAGGAGGTGGAGACAGAGATGATGGGGTGGGGATGGCAGTGGAGATGGACATGGGGATGGGGATGATGAAGATGGGGATGGGCATGGAGATGGGCATGGGGATGGGAAGGAGATGGAGGTAGACCTGGTGGGCTGGGCTGGGGCCTTACCCTGGGTCCTTCACCAGCAGCTGCTGGATGAAGTCCTTGGCCATCTCGGAGGTCTGGCTGAAGCAGCGCTCCTCGAACTCGTAGGCACCAGCCACGACATTGGAGAGGGTCTCAGCATCCGTCTCACCCTGGAAGGGGGACAAGCCGCTGAGCCTGTGGGGACATGACAGAGCCACTGAATGCCGGGACATCACTGGCTTGGCCACCCCAGCACCCCCAGTGTCCCTGTGCCTCAGTGTCCCCAGCCACAGGGAGCACTGCCCCACACTCACAGGATGTAGGTGATGACCCCGATGCTCCTGAAAGGCAGAGGTGGGTATCAGATGCTGCTCCCTCTGGGGACCCCAATGTTCGTGGCACCCGGGGGGGGTCCCTCCCCACCCACCAGCTCAGCCCGGTGCCCCCAGGTCCCGGCTCCTCACCACATGTCGGTCGCGGAGCTCAGCGGCTCATAATTGATCACTTCAGGAGCTGGGGGTGAACAGAGAGCCCGGGCAGGACATCAGAGGGGACGGCACCGGCCTGCCACCTCCCTCCCTGAACACCAGGGGTCCCTTTGCCACATCCCCCAGGGACGTGCCAGCCCCTACCGATGTACTGGGGGGTCCCGCAGAGGCTTTTGAAAGTGACACCATCCTCCAGCTGCTGGGCCAGCCCGAAGTCGATGATCTTGATCCGGGGCTTGGGGACGTCCCTCTCCTGCAGCATGATGTTCTCGGGCTGTGGGGACGTGGTGGGGTGAGGAGAGGATGGCAGGGGGTGGAGCAGCATCCTGGGAAGCTGGGCAGGGTGCGGCCAAGACTCCGGAGGTGCCTGGCAGGGCAGATGCAGCCCCTGGATCCTCAGGGAGCAAGGACAGGGTGTCTCCGTGGGCACCTTGAGGTCGAGGTGGGCGATGAGGCGGGCGTGCAGGTACTCCACCCCGCGCAGGATCTGCCCCAGGAACTCGATGGCCTCCTCCTCCGACAGCATCTCCTTCTCCGCGATGAAGTCGAAGAGCTCCCCCCCGGCGATCCTGCGCACGGCGGGGCGGGGGCAGCTCGGCCACCTCCGGCACGGGGCACAAAAAGGGCTCTGTTCCCCTCTCCCCCCGCCCCAGGAGCCCACTCACAGCTCCAGGACGAGCACCACCTCGGCTCTGCTGGCGAACAGGTCGTGGAGCCGCATGATGTTGGGATGGTTGAGCTGGCGGAGGATGGCGACTTCCCGCTCCACCTGGGCCCGCTCCAGCCCCAGGCGGCTGCCCCAGCAGCGCCGCGTCTTCACAAATTTGGCGGCGTAGAAGGTGCCGGTGCCGCGCTCGCGGCAGCGCCTCACCACGCCAAAGTGCCCGCTGCGGCGAGAGGCCGGGCTGGGGCACGGCCGGGCTGACCCCAAAACGGGGGAGGACCCAGGAGTCCGGACACCTCCGGGGCAGCTGGGACCCCTGCCTGTGCCCCTCCCACCTGCCTGCATCCCTGCCCGTGCCCCTCTCACCTGCCTGGATCCCTGCCCGTGCCCCTCCCACCTGCCTGCATCCCTGCCTGTGTCCCACTCACCTGCCTGGATCCCTGCCCGTGCCCCTCTCACCTGCCTGCATCCCTGCCTGTGCCCCTCCCACCTGCCTGCATCTCTGCCTGTGTCCCACTCACCTGCCTGGATTGGTGCCTACACCCTGCTCACCTGCCTAGACCTTCTCACCTGCCTGCAGCCTGCTCACCTCCCTGGATCCCTGCCTGCACCGCTTCCACCTGCCTGCCTGGATTCCCGCTTACCTGCCTGGATCCCACTCACCTGCCCTGAACCCACTCACCTGCCTGGATTCCCTCTTGCCTGCCTGGATTCCCACTCACCTGCCCGGATCCCACTCACCTGCCTGGATTCCCGCTCACCTGCC